CCTCGTTTATAGCCATAAATAATTGCCCCATATTGTTCAGCCGTTAACTCTTTTTTTCTACCCATTTGTATTTTGTTTGAAAGAGAGTTATTAAAAATTATTGTTATTGTTGTGATCGACATGCTAAATAAATACTAAAATTAGAAATAAACGCGTAGATGATGTAAATAAAGAAAAAAAAACAAAAATACTTATCGTTCGGAAATCCGTGATCACCCTCTGTATATGATAACGTCTTTGCAATTCTGATTTTTTAGGTTCCGAAAGTTCCTTCCACCATTTGGATACCAATCTACTATATTCAGTCATTGGCATATTATGAGGCTTCTTCTTCATCATTTCTTTACGATAAGTAATGAAAATATTTGGCAATCTCTTTTTCGGTGTTGTATTACTTTCATTAAAAGTATATTGGAAGACTTTAAGTTCATCACTCATGGTTTAGTAATATCTGAAGAAAAAGTAATGATTTTTCGATGAAATGATGAAATAATGAAAGATTAATTATAAAGGACATATTAGAAGAAGGGTTCCATTTTACCTTAAATTTATACTTATGAAATAGCTTTTTACATTATGTCATTGATACTATTTATCAATACACAATCTAAGCGCAGATGATTATTCTCCTTTTATTTTTGATTTAAATCTAGAATCATGCTTATTGACAAGGTTCGGAGATTTCACAAATAGACAACTATACACAGTATGTTATTCTTAATGTTTTATTTAATTATTGACCAAATAAAAGTCTACCAAGCTTATTACTTTTTAAATTATACAGAATTAAAAATTTTTTGTAGTAAATAACGCCGTTTAAATTACTAAAAAAAAAAAATTGATAAAATAGGTCGGCGTAAAAACAAGTACCTTTATTATCTTCCTAATATTAGTTGATGATCAAAACAAGAACTTACGATCGTTTTTAATATATAACAGAAAGGGAAGAAATGAAAGGAAGCATTAATATTTCTATTAACCAATATATCACTAAAGATAGAGAACTAAGATATGTAGAATGATGTAATTTCACTGATTTTTATAGAAATGAAAACTACTTTTGAAAGATAATACTGTTATTACCTAATTATACTTAACCATTAATAAAAAAGAATTCCCACAATATAAATAAATGAGATAGATACTAAAGATGATGTTCCAACAAAGCAGATTACTAAAACATTTCCGAGATTTTAATCCAACAAATAAAATAAACCCATGAATGGCTGGAGATGTGACAAGATCGATTATGCAAAAAATTACTTAACGCGGTTAAATAAAAATTTTTAAATAGGGACTTGATTCAAAATTTTCCGACAGCATATCCGGAAAAACATAAGTTTAATGAGTTTAATGGTCACTTTCTTTTTAAGTATTTTTTTTATGCATGCAGGACGCCTAATCGGAAATAAACGGGAATTTCTGAATGAAGTATATCACAAAATAAATTGACGGTATATATAAATTTGAATTACCTTTTCTAAGATAGGTTAAAAAATTTTATTATATATCCTTATAAGATCACACTATGTATATTTTTACATTTATTGAATAGCTTTATTAGTGATATATA